TTGAAGTCAGGATAAAATTGATATTTAAGTTAAGTAATCTTTTCATATAATATTATATATACATACACATACACAATTTGCAAACATTTTGTAATGCTAAGATTCAAATTAATTTAAAGTAACATTATGTGTAAAATCATTACAGAGAGCTATCCCAGACTGGAAAAGAATGTAGCAAATATTTTTAAATATTGGCATTATTTTGTACATTAATTCTCTTATATTCTTTTTAAGATACCATCTCTTATAATGAAAGATATTTCTTTAATGTATTCCTTATATAATGATAGCTTATGAAGTTTTCAACCTTTCCTTGCAGTGAGGGCTGTACAATTATTTCATACCATTCAAATCAATAAAGCCACTAAGACACAGGGTGTTACTGAGTATTAGTGAATATGAGAAAAAAAATCACTATTGAATCAACCTAGTGCCTGTTTTTACTTGTGTCACTTAATCTTTTGTTTTATTTCAGACTAAGAGACTGAAATTGTTTTGTGCATTTTTTTAATCATTTCAACCATGGCAAGACAATAAAGCCACTAAGATTCAAGAGGTTACTGAGTGTTACAGAAAAATATACTATTAAGGAGAAAGGACAATAAAAACAAGAATTAAGACAGAAGATAATGATTGACGCTGTATTTAAGTCAAGATCAAATTTGACTGGGAAGCAAGAAGCCAGAAAAGAGTTCCACAATCAAGAAGCATGAGAGTAGAAAATGTTACAGTTACATATAGCCATTTTGACTGTAAATATATGAAACCTTGCTGCCAATCTAGTACTGCACTTATATTCAGGTACCACAGAGGAAAGGTCATGAGAACAATTACTATGAAAGTATTTATAGAAAAGGCACAAGGAAACTATGTTACATTAGTGGCGAAAAGTGACTGAAGCCAAGATGCCAGGTCAGGACCAATAATATTGCAGATTATTTGCTTTTTAGCAAGAATCTCTAAATATATAACAGGAGCACCAGACCAGATGTGGCTGTAATATTCAAAGCAAGCACACACACACACATATATATATATATATATATATATATATATATATATATATATATACCCACATTTATATAGCAAAATGACAAGGCACAGGCAGTAAATGAAATAAGTAAGTACATGTGTGCACACATTTATATGTAGGTATGTATTACAAAAAACAAATATTTTCCTTTTAATCTAGCAGCTTTGAAAATATTTTGCTGTAAATAAAGTATCTTCTTTTTTTTTCCCCTCTGGGTGGTCTTTTTCAGCATATATCCATAATTTCAGCACCATTTCACCAGAACCATCATTATTTTTTTTATATTTTAATGTATTATGTACATATGACATCACATGTAATCAAGTTACATTGCACTCCACCCTTATGATGTATATTTACAGTGAATAATTTTACTTCCACAAATACCACCTCTGAGAAACCAAAGGTAATTTAGGGAATTACAAGCTAAGATGAATATATCTCCATTATGAGTTATGACATATTTAAACTTTAAACTTCATGATCTTAGGTCAACATTTTAAGCACTAAACTATATCATATCTCCCCAATTTTTAGTATTGACCTATTTTAACAATTCAGCTCATCAGAAGTATTTCAGTTTTTTTCGTTGTGAATCTCTAATTTTATTTTGTCATAATATTGATCAGAGTCAAACTCATCTTGAGAAAAATGCACAAAAATAGAAAATAAACAAATAACTTCCAAGAACTCACATTTGGTTTTGTGATCAAAGAAAGTTGTATGATAAAAATAATCACAATAAGATAAACTAATATTAAAACATGAGTAATTACCACCATGGTTTTGTTCAAGACACTGGAACAAGAAATGCTATCTTTATGATCAGAATGCTAAAATACTAAGTAATACAAATGCAGAAAGTTCTAGAATTATATTTCAAAGATTGCACAAAATAATTTGGCAAGATACAGCACAAAGCCTTATTCAAATATGAGAAAAGTTTCATTTTAATAGGAGTGATATTCAAGTAATTCCTAACTTCTGGGAACAATTAGATAGAGAACAAATTCATTGAAGAAACAAGAACAGAAAAAAAAATATGATTTCTCATCAGATTTATTCAACCTATCTAGGGAGACCATTTGAAGAGAACTAAATAGCCTACCATTATATATTACTGGCAGATATAATCCTAACATCATGAGATGTGTAGATGACATTGTGTTGATGGCAGACTCAAAAAAGAATCTCAAAAATACTCTTAACTGTTATCACTATGTGACTACATTTGCTATACAAAAAGTTTATCCTGTCATTGGAAATGTCTCTTAATTTGAATTTGTTTGAATTTCATTACTGCATTTGAGAGGTCTTGAAAAAGAATACATAGGAAAAGGAAGTAATATTAATAATGCAGAGTGCTAAAGGTTAAAGTAGTAATGGAAAGCAAGAAGAAAAGACTTAAATGGAAGACAAACTAAATGATCCTAAGAAAAAGAGACAGCTTGAAAGGAGATCCCTATATTTGACATGTCAAAATAAAGCAGGTAGAAAAATTTAACTCGGTAATGTAGCAATGGAGGAATAAAAATGTGAAACAGAAATCATATATAGGAATAGTGAATGAGGTTTTCCAGAAATTAAGCAAAGTATTAAAACCTGATTTATTGGCATTACATATTACAGGTGATGAAAAATGGGTTTTACATGTCAACAAAAAATAAAAAAGACAGTGGTTATCATAAAATGAGAAACCAATGACAATATCAAAATCAGGAGTCCATCCACAAAAGTTCTTGCTTTATGTCTGGTGGAATAGGAAAATTGTCACCCATTACAAACAGTTAGAACTTTGATTGATTATCACTGCAGGTGATTATTATCCCCAGCAACTTCATTGGATAAATGAAGCAGTACATTGAAAGTGTCCTGCTTTGATAAAAGAAAAAGGTGTCATTCTCCAGCATGACAATGCAAGGACACACATTGCAAAAATAAAATAATTAGGATGGAAGTGTTTTTGTCCTGTCTGGTTTTCTAAATAAATGTAAACACCAAAACTCCAATCGTCCACATGTTGAGAGTGCTTCCCTGAGAAAAAGCTGGTGTTATATAGCTCTCTCAGTTCCAGACACCACACTGACTATTGGCTAATACCTGTCCAGTATCGTTTGTATGAAAAACTCGTAGAATATCTTCTCTCAACAGGTAATTGTAGAAAGGGACATAACTCCTGGTGCTTACTGCACCACATGCAACCAAATCTGGGTCTCTTGTTTGGATGGCTCAATTCTCAGAGAACAAAAGATGGGAAAACAACATGTAACCTACTTAATACATTTAAGTAAATTGATGGCAAAACAGGGACAAAGATGAATGGTAAAGGGTTTCTCAGAGCAACAAGGGATAGGAAGTTGTGAAGAATCATGATCATCCACATTGTGAAAGACTTAACACATAAAAAAAGAATGATAAAGAGTAAAGTGGTCCAGATTGTGCTAAGAAACGATTATAGGATAGATTGATTTGTTTTCGTTTTTTTTACAGCTTAACCTTTTGAATGTTATTTAAAGATAGAAAATATTTTTTAGGTTGTAAGAATTCTTTGGAGATGATAAAGATCTACTGATAATCCTACTAATTAACCCATAACTGGAGGGAGAAGAGGTGGATTCATTCTTTTCTCATTATATTTATGCATAATGTAACAAACCTGACTGGAATTGGAACTCAGCTCTTTGATTTTCAATTCTGAGTCCTTATCCATTACACCACCTGTATATTCAAGTTTACAGTATCTGGCATTCCTAAGTGGTCACCCATCTAGGTACTAACCAGGCTCAACATTGCTCAACTTTGGTGATTGTATGAGAAGCACTGTTTCAATATCTACTGTCTGCACTGGACTCTTTCACTATAATGAACTCTAAGTATGTAACACTGTCTAAAGATCAGACAAAGATGGCATGCTGGTATGAGTGTTTCTACATCACATGATGGCTGAAAACAAATATTTTATCAGAATATCTACAACCCCACACATACTTGAGCCAGATCAAAATTGATATCATTTTAAAAAATTTCTTTCCTATCCATCTACTATAGAACCACGATCATCCACATTGTGAAAGACTTAACACGAAAATTTAATTATTCAATAATCCTTTATTTAAAATTTTGAATATAAGCTATTTACCAACAAATTAGTTTAAGATATTGACTAATTCTCATTGTGTACCTTATTACTTGCTTTAGACCAAAGGATATCAATAGTGTAGTGAGTTTGACTCTTCAGTGCATAATTCATTACCATACCATTGTGAAAGTTAAAATACATATGCCAATGCTATTTACCAAAGAGCTGACGCCATTATCTGCTCAAATCAATCATTTTGAATAGTTCTTTTAGTTATGACCAGAGTCATGATTCTAAACTGAAAAATAATACAAATATTTTCTTACATTTCACCCCAAGCAAGGCAATAAAGCCACTAGGATGTAAAAAGTTACTGAGTTTTAGAGAATATGAAAAAAACTACTATTAAGGAGAGAGGACAATAAAGGAATAAAAATTAAGACAGAAAATAATGATTGGCATTGCATTTAAATTTTTGACTGGGAAGCAAGATACTGAAAGAGATTTCCCCAAACGAGAAGTGTGATAGAAGCTATATGGCAGAGGTAAAGGGACTGAAGGTGAGATGCCAGGTCAGGACCAATAACATTGCAGATTCTTCCTTGGATTTCATCAAGAATCTCTAAATATATAACAGGAACACCAGAAGCAATATTCAAAGCATGTTCAGTTTGTTAAATTATAAACATCTAAACAATCTTAAAGTTAAAATAATAATTTACAGCTCTTAGTAATAAAAATGATTTATTCATCAAATATACAATTAATATTCAACTGCATTTATAAATTACTAAACTTTGCATTACAGATATTTTCATATTTGACAGAAAATAATGTTCAGTAAAGATATAAAAGGTTTACCATTATAATATCTACTTTATAACTGGCTTATGGCCATATCACATTGAAATGCCAGTCCCCATATGATCACTGAAGTTAAGGAACATTGAGCCTGGTCAGTACCTAGATGGGTGACCACTAGGAAATGCCAGATGCTGTAAGTTTGGATGTCCAGTTGGTGTAATGGTTAACAGCTCAGAATTGGAAGTTGGAGAGTCAAGGTCCTATTCTATTTGGCTTGTTATATTCACTTACATGCAAACACCCTTGGGAAAGGTATGAATTCACTTCCCTCCCAGCCATGGGTTAATTAGTAATCACTAAATCATTTTCATCTTACAATCTAAAATATTTTCTGACTTTAACTAAGCTGTAAAAATTGAATCACTTTATCAATCATATTTGGGAAATAAAAACATTGAAGTTTTTTTTTAGATCAAGTGTTTGTTTTGAAAGTCAAAATAGTCCATAAGTACATAAAATCTTTACTGCATGTTCTGTCTTTGAATCATTACCTTAAGAAATAATGGATGAGATTCTTTTAACTTGGAGACCAAAACAAAATATATAGAACAAAAAGAAGAAATAAGATGTTTATTCTTTATGGAATATGTTTTACATATAACAACAAAGTTAAAACATTTCAATTTCAGACAGCAGTTCCAAATGTCTATCATGTATGCAAGAACAGACAGACAACGCCCGAATTCTGAATGGTTCTTATTTACTCTTTGGCTGTCGTCATGTGTATTTCTTTCTTTTGGACTTGGGAATATTTATGTCCTCAAAGGAAATAGTTTTTGTATTAAAAATGCATGAAGTAACACAAGAAATATACTGTGGTTATGTATATGCAACAACATTTTCTTCCATTCTACCAAACCATAACCACTGACTGATACTTGAAAAAAATAACTCAGACAACACTGTATATATGCTTGGAATTTGATAAAACTGTCAATAAATACACAAAAAAGAAATAATGTCTCTCTCTCTCCTTTCATCATGGCAAAAATTGTCAAAGACAACAATTTCTAGAGGCAAGTATTGGGATTGAGTTCTTCAAACTGTTTAATAATTACTTTTAAAAGGTGTTCTTGTATATTCAATATACTTATAAGATTGTCTCAAGGAGAGCTGTCACTAATTTGCAACAGAATATGGTTTAAATTTAAGATATGTTAAACTGATCTTAATGTATTAATATAAAATACAAACATTAAATCTATAAGATTGGAAGATTGGCCAAAAACTTGATTATATTTTGCCATTAGGTAGCATTAGGGCTATTTAAACATCACTCAAAATGACCACTTCTCGTTGTATTCTGAATCTATTCATTGTATTGCTGTCATTTTGATGTGTATGTAAGAAAAGAATAATGAATAGTGGCTTGGTTTGAGAAATTGGAGAGCTGAGTTTGAATTCTAGTTCAGTTTGTACATTGACTTACATGCAAATACCATTGAGAATGGTATGAATCAACCAGTTATTTCTTCTCCCCCAGCTATGGATAAATACCAAGAAAGACTTTGGTCTTGTAACCTTGGGTTTTAAACTGGTCTCAGAGAAGCACAACTATTTTCAAAAACCTCCAAAAATGGGTTAAATAGCCTCACCAACTCGCAATTGGCCAAGAATGGTTTGTATGGTTACATTCCTGAAAGCATGATCATTCAGGGTGGGCTTTCTCCAAGGAGTGAGAAGAATCGAGATCTGTTTTAAGAAGCATTCATCCATGGTACCTTTATTTCTTTTCAAAAATTTGTTTAAATTGTCATGTTTTTCTTTCTTGATTCTAACAATAGAAGAAACTGAAATTTTCAGCATATATTGTTTTTAATTTTCAGAAAGGTAAAACCTCAGGTACAATAGACAGGACTAATGAAGCATTTTTGAAAGCTACAATATTTTGTATATTTAAGTAAATCAAGAGATACAGCCTGTTTTGTTTTTGAACATAACTGCAGCTGTTTATGTCATCAGTCAAAGTTTTTTTTTTCATTTTCAATTTGAGCTTCCTGTTATTTAATCTCTTAAAATTCCCCAAGTAAAAACAACCATTTTTTTGCCTATTTCATATCACTCACAATGTATACTGTTACACTTAATAGAAAATAAACATATGAGTATCAGAAAAAAGCTACAAAAAAGAAAGAAAAACTGAAAACCGTTTCTAACAGAGTGGTCTTTAAAGTCTGAAGTCAAGAAACATTAAACCAATTAAAGAACTATCAGTTGAAAAGAAAACCAAATTTGACACATTAAAAAAAAGAAAAGAAATATGACAGTTGATAAAGATGTTGATTTTTTTTATCAACCTAAAATATTTTACTTGCTACACTGTTTACCTATTAAATATTTATACTTTTTTGTTTGGTTTGGTTTGGTTTATGGTATACTAACCTCAATAGGTTATTTAATGCCAACAATTTTTATTGCTGGTAATATAATATTCTCTTCAAAAATCTATTTCAGGTAATAATTTTTCTTCAAAAATGTATTGCTAGTAATTTTTTTTTCCAGAAGTGTATTGCTGGTAATAACTTTTTTACAAAGTATTTCTGGTATTAAAACCTATTTTTACACTTTCACAGTGTCCCAACTCCAGCTTGGGGGCTAACTATCTACCCATAGCTGGAACCACAACAGGTGCTACCACCCCAGGTCAGAGTGGACCTGGGAACACCAGCAATTAAGAAGTGGCTCCACACTCCTCAAAACCACCTGATCAGAGGTTTTGCTGTTGGACGTAGTTTATTGTCATACCCAGGATGTTATTTTTAACTTGTCTACAATTTGTCACTAGTACAATCAGTACATTTGTGTAACATGTAACATGTCAACAAATTCAGTGAGAAATAAATGGTAGAATAGGACTGATAGTTTTTTGATTGATTTTTTATGGTTTATCAACATTTTGCAGGTTATTTAAAACCAGAAAATATTTTTAGATTTTATGAATTTTATTCTGAAAAAAAAAAAAATTCAATAAAAAATAATTAAAAACTTGAAAAATATACAAATGAATAAAAATTACAGTTCTAGTCCACAGTTCCAGAATATTTTCTAATATTTTTTTAATGTTTATTGAAAACAAATCAACAATATCAGTTATAAAGATATTTTCAACTGTAAAAAGATACAAAAAAATGTAATATTTAAGCTGAGAGTATTTAATTTGAAACAATATTTAAATGAGGCATAAAAATGATTAATTTATAAATCAGTGATTATTTTTTCATAATGATGATTTTTTTTTATATAGAAAAATCAAAAGCAAGCTATGTTGGGAATTTGAACCTCTGGTCACAATCATTGAAGATTTTTGATCATCCACTGTGCTGTTTATAGTGGATAGTAATGCTTTCATTCAAATACAGTTTTTTATGTTTTTAATATTGTGTATGTGCATTGTTTTTGATTTTGTCAACTGCAGAGTATAGTAAGGTCAGTTGGGTAACATCTGTGAGAAAAAGAGCACAAGGTTACTATTCACTCTTCAAATTTGGAAATGGCATGCAGTACTGTTTGGCATTTTTATTTTCAGAATAATCATTGGCTTGCTTTGTCCCCAAAAGATATACAGAGAGTGATAAAAACCAAATATCCAATCAACATCATGTCCGGAGTGATCACTAGTGATGATAACATTATACCTCCATTCATCTCCCTACAGTGCCTCAAACTCAACACAGAGGCCTATATCAAGTACCTCAAGGAGGTAGTGCTGTCCTGGGTCAAAAGGATGGCTACTGGAAGACCCTGTGTTTGGAAACGGGATTTTGCACCATACCACACAAGCAGGAGAACCCAGTCATGGCTGTCAGACAATTTCTGCAACCATATCACCCCTTACATTTGGCCACCTAACTCCCCAGACTGCAACCCACTTGATTATTATGTATGGAGCACAGTTGAGTGAGAGACCAACAAAACTCCTTGTAAAAACCAAAGATGAACTGAAGTCAAGGATTATGGCAGCATTCACCAACTTAAACAAGGTGACCATCCAGAAGAGTTGCAGAAGTTTCCAAAGTCATCTGGTGGCCATGGTTGAAGCTAAAGGCAATTTCATTGAATAAATTTACTCTTTAGTATTTCAAGATATTTTTATGCAATTTTGGTAAATATATCTGTTAAAATGAGATGTCAGTGTTATTTTCATTTTTGTGTAATTTAGACGACAATTTACCCATCGCATCCTATATTTATGGTACACACCTGACACCATAGGTTGAGGGATAGCAAATGTCACATTTGATCTGTTATCCAACTTGGGTGGCATTCATATTGACTAACCATGTCAGAGAGCATGACTGATATAGATCTATTTATTTCATGATTCTAAGAAATGGTGGTGCCAAGTTTATGTACTGCTGTTCATTGACTTTTGGCACATCAGTGTAAAGAACAAAAAAAATTCAATATTAGCAATCTAAGATTTCTGAAAGCTAATGTTAGCATTGGACATCTGTAAAAACACCTGTATCAAAGAAAGTCTGCAACAGAAAAACACTATGAATGCAATGCAGGTGTTTGTACAGAACAAGAAAAAACTGTACTGAAGAGATGGGTGGGGGATGGAGAAATAAATTGATTATAAATTCAATGAAGTTTGGGTTATTCCATTTCTTACAATAAAAATGATATCACAGAAAAAAAAACTGAGAAAGCAATACATCAATATACCATATATCCATAAGTGTTACTAAAAATAATTATTATCAACGAAGAAACACAACATATTTAGTTTACTACCACACCTACTAGACACGGCCAAAAGAGGGGGAGATATATTTTCATTGATCTTGATTTTATAAGCATAAAAATACTCATTTCCACAGCAAATGTTCCAAGCTCTGGTATTGATCAACAACATTTTCTAAACACCTGCATTGACCAACTTATTACAGGTGCTGAGCTGCAAACATTCGGCATGGAACAGACAGGTTCATCAAACAGAGTAAGTTTTCATCCAGTTTAGATCAAATATTCTAAAATCTAATCTGGTTCCTTTATTATTTTTCTTTGCTTAAAAACTAAAAAGAATCTAAGGAGACGGGCAATGCCCAAAATTTGGTCAACATGGATTTTTATTTAATCTTAATGCAGAGTGCTAAAGGTTAAATGATTATTAACATTACTTCTCTTTCCACGG